CCAAAACATCAGGTTTTGTACACATCAATGCGTCGTTTCGTACACAACACAATATGATTACATGACTAGTAGCTACCAAGCTTGGCTGGCGTCCTGTACGCTCTTGTTTACCTTCTGTCTCTGGCGTCTCAGCCGCCGCACATAGAAAACGGATGGTACCATTTTCTGTGAACATGACATCTGACACATGTGTTGTTGCTGGTCCCTGTGTGTGACACACGTGTTGTTGGTGATCCCTGTGTGTGACACATGTGTTGTTGCTGGTCCCTGTGTGTGACACACGTGTTGTTGCTGGTCCCTGTGTGACACATGTGTTGTTGCTGGTCCCTGTGTGTGACACACGTGTTGTTGGTGATCCCTGTGTGTGACACATGTGTTGTTGCTGGTCCCTGTGTGTGACACACGTGTTGTTGCTGGTCCCTGTGTGACACACGTGTTGCTGCTGGTCCCTGTGTGTGACACACGTGTTGTTGCTGGTCCCTGTGTGACACATGTGTTGCTGCTGGTCCCTGTGTGTGACACACGTGTTGTTGCTGGTCCCTGTGTGTGACACACGTGTTGTTGCTGGTCCCTGTGTGACACACGTGTTGCTGCTGGTCCCTGTGTGTGACACACGTGTTGCTGCTGGTCCCTGTGACACATGTGTTGTTGCTGGTCCCTGTGTGTGACACACGTGTTGCTGCTGGTCCCTGTGTGACACACGTGTTGCTGCTGGTCCCTGTGACACATGTGTTGTTGCTGGTCCCTGTGTGTGACACACGTGTTGCTGCTGGTCCCTGTGTGACACACGTGTTGCTGCTGGTCCCTGTGTGTGACACATGTGTTGTTGCTGGTCCCTGTGTGACACACGTGTTGTTGCTGGTCCCTGTGTGTGACACACGTGTTGCTGCTGGTCCCTTTGTGTGACACACGTGTTGTTGCTGGTCCCTGTGTGACACACGTGTTGTTGCTGGTCCCTGTGTGTGACACACGTGTTGTTGCTGGTCCCTGTGTGTGACACACGTGTTGTTGCTGGTCCCTGTGTGACACACGTGTTGTTGCTGGTCCCTGTGTGACACACGTGTTGTTGCTGGTCCCTGTGTGACACACGTGTTGCTGCTGGTCCCTGTGACACATGTGTTGTTGCTGGTCCCTGTGTGTGACACACGTGTTGTTGGTGGTCCCTGTGTGTGACACACGTGTTGTTGGTGGTCCCTGTGTGTGACACACGTGTTGCTGCTGGTCCCTGTGTGTGACACATGTGTTGCTGCTGGTCCCTGTGTGTGACACATGTGTTGCTGCTGGTCCCTGTGTGACACACGTGTTGCTGCTGGTCCCTGTGTGTGACACATGTGTTGTTGCTGGTCCCTGTGTGACACACGTGTTGTTGCTGGTCCCTGTGTGTGACACACGTGTTGCTGCTGGTCCCTGTGTGTGACACACGTGTTGTTGCTGGTCCCTGTGTGTGACACATGTGTTGCTGCTGGTCCCTGTGTGTGACACACATGTTGCTGCTGGTCCCTGTGTGTGACACACGTGTTGTTGCTGGTCCCTGTGTGTGACACACATGTTGCTGCTGGTCCCTGTGTGTGACACACGTGTTGTTGGTGGTCCCTGTGTGTGACACATGTGTTGCTGCTGGTCCCTGTGTGACACACGTGTTGCTGCTGGTCCCTGTGTGACACACGTGTTGCTGCTGGTCCCTGTGACACATGTGTTGTTGCTGGTCCCTGTGACACATGTGTTGTTGCTGGTCCCTGTGACACATGTGTTGTTGCTGGTCCCTGTGTGTGACACACGTGTTGCTGCTGGTCCCTGTGACACATGTGTTGTTGGTGGTCCCTGTGTGTGACACACGTGTTGTTGCTGGTCCCTGTGTGTGACACATGTGTTGCTGCTGGTCCCTGTGTGTGACACACGTGTTGTTGGTGATCCCTGTGTGTGACACACGTGTTGTTGGTGGTCCCTGTGTGTGACACACGTGTTGTTGGTGGTCCCTGTGTGTGACACACGTGTTGTTGGTGATCCCTGTGTGTGACACACGTGTTGTTGGTGGTCCCTGTGTGTGACACACGTGTTGTTGGTGGTCCCTGTGTGTGACACACGTGTTGTTGCTGGTCCCTGTGTGTGACACACGTGTTGCTGCTGGTCCCTGTGTGTGACACATGTGTTGCTGCTGGTCCCTGTGACACATGTGTTGTTGGTGGTCCCTGTGTGTGACACACGTGTTGTTGCTGGTCCCTGTGTGACACACGTGTTGCTGCTGGTCCCTGTGACACATGTGTTGTTGGTGGTCCCTGTGTGTGACACACGTGTTGTTGCTGGTCCCTGTGTGTGACACACGTGTTGCTGCTGGTCCCTGTGTGTGACACATGTGTTGCTGCTGGTCCCTGTGTGTGACACACGTGTTGTTGGTGATCCCTGTGTGTGACACATGTGTTGCTGCTGGTCGCGGTGTGTGACACATGTGTTGTTGGTGATCCCTGTGTGTGACACACGTGTTGTTGCTGGTCCCTGTGTGTGACACATGTGTTGCTGCTGGTCCCTGTGTGTGACACACATGTTGCTGCTGGTCCCTGTGTGTGACACACGTGTTGCTGCTGGTCCCTGTGTGTGACACACGTGTTGCTGCTGGTCCCTGTGTGACACACGTGTTGTTGCTGGTCCCTGTGTGTGACACACGTGTTGCTGCTGGTCCCTGTGTGTGACACACGTGTTGTTGGTGGTCCCTGTGTGTGACACACGTGTTGCTGCTGGTCCCTGTGTGACACACGTGTTGCTGCTGGTCCCTGTGTGTGACACACGTGTTGTTGGTGGTCCCTGTGTGTGACACACGTGTTGTTGCTGGTCCCTGTGTGTGACACACGTGTTGCTGCTGGTCCCTGTGTGTGACACACGTGTTGTTGGTGGTCCCTGTGTGTGACACACGTGTTGTTGGTGGTCCCTGTGTGTGACACACGTGTTGCTGCTGGTCCCTGTGTGTGACACATGTGTTGCTGCTGGTCCCTGTGTGTGACACATGTGTTGCTGCTGGTCCCTGTGTGACACACGTGTTGCTGCTGGTCCCTGTGTGTGACACATGTGTTGTTGCTGGTCCCTGTGTGACACACGTGTTGTTGCTGGTCCCTGTGTGTGACACACGTGTTGCTGCTGGTCCCTGTGTGTGACACACGTGTTGTTGCTGGTCCCTGTGTGTGACACATGTGTTGCTGCTGGTCCTTGTGTGTGACACATGTGTTGCTGCTGGTCCCTGTGTGTGACACACGTGTTGTTGGTGGTCCCTGTGTGTGACACATGTGTTGCTGCTGGTCCCTGTGTGACACACGTGTTGCTGCTGGTCCCTGTGTGACACACGTGTTGCTGCTGGTCCCTGTGACACATGTGTTGTTGCTGGTCCCTGTGACACATGTGTTGTTGCTGGTCCCTGTGACACATGTGTTGTTGCTGGTCCCTGTGTGTGACACACGTGTTGCTGCTGGTCCCTGTGACACATGTGTTGTTGGTGGTCCCTGTGTGTGACACACGTGTTGTTGCTGGTCCCTGTGTGTGACACATGTGTTGCTGCTGGTCCCTGTGTGTGACACACGTGTTGTTGATGATCCCTGTGTGTGACACACGTGTTGTTGGTGGTCCCTGTGTGTGACACACGTGTTGTTGGTGGTCCCTGTGTGTGACACACGTGTTGTTGCTGGTCCCTGTGTGTGACACACGTGTTGCTGCTGGTCCCTGTGTGTGACACATGTGTTGCTGCTGGTCCCTGTGACACATGTGTTGTTGGTGGTCCCTGTGTGTGACACACGTGTTGTTGCTGGTCCCTGTGTGACACACGTGTTGCTGCTGGTCCCTGTGACACATGTGTTGTTGGTGGTCCCTGTGTGTGGCACACGTGTTGTTGCTGGTCCCTGTGTGTGACACACGTGTTGCTGCTGGTCCCTGTGTGTGACACATGTGTTGCTGCTGGTCCCTGTGTGTGACACACGTGTTGTTGGTGATCCCTGTGTGTGACACATGTGTTGCTGCTGGTCCCGGTGTGTGACACATGTGTTGTTGGTGATCCCTGTGTGTGACACACGTGTTGTTGCTGGTCCCTGTGTGTGACACATGTGTTGCTGCTGGTCCCTGTGTGTGACACACATGTTGCTGCTGGTCCCTGTGTGTGACACACGTGTTGCTGCTGGTCCCTGTGTGTGACACACGTGTTGCTGCTGGTCCCTGTGTGACACACGTGTTGTTGCTGGTCCCTGTGTGTGACACACGTGTTGCTGCTGGTCCCTGTGTGTGACACACGTGTTGTTGGTGGTCCCTGTGTGTGACACACGTGTTGCTGCTGGTCCCTGTGTGACACACGTGTTGCTGCTGGTCCCTGTGTGTGACACACGTGTTGTTGGTGGTCCCTGTGTGTGACACACGTGTTGTTGCTGGTCCCTGTGTGTGACACACGTGTTGCTGCTGGTCCCTGTGTGTGACACACGTGTTGTTGGTGGTCCCTGTGTGTGACACACGTGTTGCTGCTGGTCCCTGTGTGACACACGTGTTGCTGCTGGTCCCTGTGTGTGACACACGTGTTGTTGGTGGTCCCTGTGTGACACACGTGTTGCTGCTGGTCCCTGTGTGACACACGTGTTGCTGCTGGTCCCTGTGTGTGACACACGTGTTGCTGCTGGTCCCTGTGTGACACACGTGTTGCTGCTGGTCCCTGTGTGTGACACACGTGTTGTTGCTGGTCCCTGTGTGTGACACACGTGTTGCTGCTGGTCCCTGTGTGTGACACACGTGTTGTTGCTGGTCCCTGTGTGACACACGTGTTTCTGCTGGTCCCTGTGTGACACACGTGTTGCTGCTGGTCCCTGTGTGTGACACACGTGTTGCTGCTGGTCCCTGGCCCTGCAGCATGTCTATATGACATGTCTTTAAGGCGAGGAGAGCCGTGCGCCTCCTCCTCCTCGCTTCATACCTGACCTCACTGATGCTCTACAACTCTCCCAGGATGGTCAGCTCTACAGAACCGCACTGAGACTTACCGCATAGAGCTCCACCAGGATGGCGTCCACTATAGGCACCATCATAGCCGTGGTGGCGGTGTTGGAGATCCACATGGACAAGAACATGGTTGTTAACATGAAGCCGGCCATCAGCCTGCGTGGTGATTGACCTGGTGATTAGAGAAACATTTTAACAACTTCACACCAAGTATAGTGGCACAGTCGTTGGTGCATCAACCCGGCCTCTTAAAAATAACGTCACTTTTGGCTCGTATGCGCGGCACTATGGCCAAATTTGGACGTAATTTGAAATGAAATCGACTCACAAAAGTGACGTTCTGTTCCGTTTTCTGTTTGAGTCGTCCGGCTTACTCTGCAAGCTTAGAAAAGGATTCTTTCCATTTACGTTTTTCATAACGTTTTGAAACTTTATAAGAATTTCCTGCCCACCTAACCTATCAGAGGACCCTTAACTTACTGTTGTTGAAAAAAAAAATCCCAAATTTATATTATTTTTTTTTCCATTTTCAAATTATGTCCATATTCGGCCATACGAGTAAACGGTCAAAAGCGACGTTTTTTTTAAGAGGACAGGTTGGGTGCATAACACGAGGGAGCCCCGCTCATACTCTCTGAATATTGTATATTACTTAACAATTTCTTCCTGAACCCACTTCCTAAATCCACTAATTGAAGTATTAAAGTCAATCAAGATAATAAATATCTAAATTCTCGAATATATACTTTGTTGGAAACCAAAATACTCCATAGAACACTTAGGAAAATTTTAACAAATTTTTGTATTCAGAATCCGAAGTGTTGACTATACAACCCGTTCTCGCAAATTCGTAAAGTCAATATTGACTTATTAACTACGTGCATAGGTGATATACTAAACATAATAGATACCCTTAAAAAGATTCATAGAAAACACCGACCTTACCTAACCTACTTAGTATGTTACGATAAGCATCTTATTGCTTCGTAATTACAATTATTACTTAACCTATACCTATTATAGGTTAGGTAATAATTGTAATTACGAAGCAATAAGATGCTTATCTTAACATACTAAGTAGGTTAGGTAAGGTCGGTGTTTTCTATGAATCTTTTTAAGGGTATCTATTATGTTACGTATGTCACCTATGCACATATTTAATAAGTCAATATTGACTTATTAAATTTGCGAGAACGGGTTGGACTATAAGCACGCCAGAAGAATAACAATTCCTGGCTCACATAGAAATCACAATAGGGTGAACAAATGAACAAATCCACAATCCAAATAAACAAATCGACGTGGCACAGTCAATTAAAAGGCGCGTCTGTGATCCTCTCGGACTTGGGTTCGAACCCCTCATCACGCCCCTAATGGATTTGTTCAATTCCTCGCTCTATAACGCACACCGTAGGATCGTGAGAAACATGATGGATGAGCATTGATTGAAAGATGATGACTGCGTATACAATGAAGGCAGATCCACTTCCGCTTAGTGAGTGATGACTATATACACACTCGAGACCTTTTAGCCGAATACCACATTAACAGCAGCAAACTTTTTTACGTAAATTATAACAGACTGAAGCGGTCGAGGAGAGACGATATTTAGGAGATAGGACCATAATTTCAGCACTTTGTGTTGGGATAAAGACCGTTAATTGTACGCCAACTATTTGGGCACAAGTGGCCAGGGGTTATCTTGAGGTTATCTTGAGATGATTTCGGGGCTTTTTAGTGTCCCCGCGGCCCGGTCCTCGACCAGGCCTCCACCCCCAGGAAGCAGCCCGTGACAGCTGACTAACTCCCAGGTACCTATTTACTGCTAGGTAACAGAGGCATTCAGGGTGAAAGAAACTTTGCCCATTTGTTTCTGCCTCGTGCAGGAATCGAACCCGCGCCACAGAATTACAAGTCCTGCGCGCTATCCACCAGGCTACCAGGCCCCCTTAAGGGGTAACGACGATAAAAATAAATAATGTAGATGCCTGCAGACTTTGACGACGGGAGACAGACTCATCAGCGCCCCCCCCCCCCCCCGCGCCCTGTGTGAGAGCCGTGTTCTCGTAGAGCCTGCTGGTGCGACAGTCACCCTGGCTTAGTGCTCACTCATAAGTGAGGGAGGGCCAACACTCACTCTGAATTAAATTCAGTGTAAGAGGAGCCACCGGAGGTAATAAATGGGGGTACCCAGCTGTGCCATTTCCGTCTCTCTCTCTCCCTCTCTCTCCCTCTCTCTCTCTCTCTCTCTCTCTCTCTCTCTCTCTCTCTCTCTCTCTCTCTCTCTCTCCCTCTCTCCCTCTCTCTCCCTCTCTCTCCCTCTCTCTCCCTCTCTCTCCCTCTCTCTCCCTCTCTCTCCTCTCTCTCTCCCTCTCTCTCTCTCTCTCTCTCTCTCTCTCTCTCTCTCTCTCTCTCTCTCTCTCTCTCTCTCTCTCTCTCTCCTAGAATGATTTCCTCATTCTAATTTTATTTCAAATTTACTTTGCTATGTTTGAAGGACCCGCGGTGTTGCTACAGAGACATGGATTAAATATTAAGACCAGTACACCGTGGGGTATTAAGACCAGTACACCGTAAATTATTAAGACCGGTACACCGTGGGGTATTAAGACCAATACACTGTGGGGTATTAAGTCCAGTACACCGTGGGGTATTAAGACCAGTACACCGTGGGGTATTAAGACCAGTACACCGTAAATTATTAAGACCGGTACACCGTGGGGTATTAAGACCAATACACTGTGGGGTATTAAGTCCAGTACACCGTGGGGTATTAAGACCAGTACACCGTGGGGTATTAAGACCAGTACACCGTAAATTATTAAGACCGGTACACCGTGGGGTATTAAGACCAGTACACCGTGGGGTATTAAGACCAGTACACCGTGGGGTATTAAGACCAGTACACCGTAAATTATTAAGACCAGTACACCGTGGGGTATTAAGACCAGTACACCATAAATTATTAAGACCGGTACACCGTGGGGTATTAAGACCAGTACACCGTGGGGTATTAAGACCAGTACACCGTGGGGTATTAAGACCAGTACACCGTGGGGTATTAAGACCAGTACACCGTGGGGTATTAAGACCAGTACACCATGGGGTATTAAGACCAGTACACCGTGGGGTATTAAGTCCAGTACACCGTGGGGTATAAAGACCAGTACACCGTGGAGTATTAAGACCAGTACACCGTGGGGTATTAAGAGATAGGAAGTGGAGTATTAAGTCCAGTACACCGTGGGGTATTAAGACCAGTACACCGTAAATTATTAAGACCGGTACACCGTGGGGTATTATGACCAGTACACCGTGGGGTATTAAGACCAGTACACTGTAAAATATTAAGACCAGTACACCGTGGGGTATTAAGACCAGTACACCGTGGGGTATTAAGACCGGTACACCGTGGAGTATTAAGACCGGTACACCGTGGAGTATTAGGACCAGTACACCGTGGAGTATTAAGACCAGTACACCGTGGGGTATAAAGACCAAAACACCGTGGAGTATTAAGACCAGTACACCGTGGGGTATTAAGACCAATACACTGTGGGGTATTAAGTCCAGTACACCGTGGGGTATTAAGACCAGTACACCGTGGGGTATTAAGACCAGTACACCATAGAGTATTAAGACCAATACACCGTGGAGTATTAAGACCAGTACACCGTGGGGTATTAAGACCAGTACACCGTGGAGTATTAAGACCAGTACACCGTGGGGTATTAAGACCAGTCCACCGTGGGGTATTAAGACCAGTACACCGTGGGGTATTAAGACCAGTACACCGTGGAGTATTAAGACCAGTACACCATGGGGTATTAAGACCAGTACACCGTGGGGTATTAAGACCAGTACACCGTGGGGTATTAAGAGATAGGAAATGGAGTATTAAGACCAGTACACCGTGGGTTATTAAGACCAGTACACCGTGGGGTATTAAGAGATAGGAAGTGGAGTATTAAGACCAGTACACCGTAGAGTATTAAGACCAATACACCGTGGGGTATTAAGACCAATACACCGTAGAGTATTAAGACCAATACACCGTGGGGTATTAAGACCAATACACCGTGGAGTATTAAGACCAATACACCGTGGAGTATTAAGACCAATACACCGTGGGGTATTAAGACCAATACACCGTGGGGTATTAAGACCAATACACCGTGGGGTATTAAGACCAGTACACCGTAGAGTATTAAGACCAATACACCGTGGAGTATTAAGACCAGTACACCGTGGAGTATTAAGACCAATACACCGTGGAGTATTAAGACCAATACACCGTGGAGTATTAAGACCAATACACCGTGGAGTATTAAGACCAATACACCGTGGAGTATTAAGACCAATACACCGTGGAGTATTAAGACCAATACACCATGGAGTATTAAGACCAGTACACCGTGGAGTATTAAGACCAGTACACCGTGGGGTATTAAGACCAGTACACCGTGGGGTATTAAGAGACAGGAAGAGGGAGCAATGTACAGGAGCGTTAGGAAGACGTACCGACGAGGAGGATGACTCGTAGAGCGATGCGTCGGTGCAGATTACAGTGCTCGACGGCGATGGCAACGGTGAGGCCGCCCAGGAACATCATGTTGGCTTCCTTCATGTAGACGATGCAGGTGGCGCCGGTGGAGAGGACGCCCAGCAGGGGGAAGGCGAAGACGGGGATGAGGGCGGTGACCGCTAGAGGCACAGCCTCCGTCATCCAGTACACCGCCATTACCACAATGACGTAGCCGCATCTGGCTGCCTGTAACAACGCCTCGGGTTAATTACCTGTTGTAACACCCCCCCCCCGTAGCACTCCCAGAGCCGTGGCCTCTCTTATGTCAGTGTTAGTGTCGTCAGTGTTAGCGTCGTCAGTGTTAGTGTCGTCAGTGTTAGCGTCGTCAGTGTTAGCGTCGTCAGTGTTAGTGTTGTCAGTGTTAGCGTCGTCAGTGTTAGTGTCGTCAGTGTTAGCGTCGTCAGTGTTAGTGTCGTCAGTGTTAGCGTCGTCAGTGTTAGCGTCGTCAGTGTTAGTGTCGTCAGTGTTAGCGTCGTCAGTGTTAGTGTCGTCAGTGTTAGCGTCGTCAGTGTTAGCGTCGTCAGTGTTAGCGTCGTCAGTGTTAGCGTCGTCAGTGTTAGTGTCGTCAGTGTTAGCGTCGTCAGTGTTATGATCGTCAGTGTTATGATCATCAGTGTTATGATCGTCAGTGTTATGATCGTCAGTGTTAGCGTCGTCAGTGTTAGTGTCGTTAGTGTTAGCGTCGTCAGTGTTAGCGTCGTCAGTGTTAGTGTCGTCAGTGTTAGTGTCGTCAGTGTTATGATCGTCAGTGTTAGCGTCGTCAGTGTTAGCATCGTCAGTGTTAGTGTCGTCAGTGTTAGTGTCGTCAGTGTTAGTGTCGTCAGTGTTAGTGTCGTCAGTGTTAGCGTCGTCAGTGTTAGTGTCGTCAGTGTTAGTGTCGTCAGTGTTAGCGTCGTCAGTGTTAGCGTCGTCAGTGTTAGCGTCGTCAGTGTTATGATTGTTGGTGTTAGTGTCGTCAGTGTTAGCGTCGTCAGTGTTAGTGTCGTCAGTGTTAGTGTCGTCAGTGTTAGCGTCGTCAGTGTTATGATCGTCAGTGTTAGTGTCGTCAGTGTTAGTGTCGTCAGTGTTAGCGTCGTCAGTGTTAGCGTCGTCAGTGTTAGTGTCGTCGGTGTTAGTGTCGTCAGTGTTAGCGTCGTCAGTGTTAGTGTCGTCAGTGTTAGCGTCGTCAGTGTTAGTGTCGTCAGTGTTAGTGTCGTCAGTGTTAGCGTCGTCAGTGTTAGCGTCGTCAGTGTTAGCGTCGTCAGTGTTATGATCGTCGGTGTTAGTGTCGTCAGTGTTAACGTCGTCAGTGTTAGTGTCGTCAGTGTTAGTGTCGTCAGTGTTAGTGTCGTCAGTGTTAGTGTCGTCAGTGTTAGCGTCGTCAGTGTTAGTGTCGTCAGTGTTAGTGTCGTCAGTATTAGTGTCGTCAGTGTTAGTGTCGTCAGTGTTAGCGTCGTCAGTGTTAGTGTCGTCAGTGTTAGTGTCGTCAGTGTTAGCGTCGTCAGTGTTAGCGTCGTCAGTGTTAGTGTCGTCAGTGTTAGCGTCGTCAGTGTTAGCGTCGTCAGTGTTAGCGTCGTCAGTGTTATGATCGTTGGTGTTAGTGTCGTCAGTGTTAGTGTCGTCAGTGTTAGTGTCGTCAGTGTTAGTGTCGTCAGTGTTAGCGTCGTCAGTGTTAGTGTCGTCAGTGTTAGCGTCGTCAGTGTTATGATCGTCAATGTTAGTGTCGTCAGTGTTAGCGTCGTCAGTGTTAGCGTCGTCAGTGTTATGATCGTCAGTGTTAGTGTCGTCAGTGTTAGCGTCGTCAGTGTTAGTGTCGTCAGTGTTAGTGTCGTCAGTGTTAGTGTCGTCAGTGTTAGTGTCGTCAGTGTTAGCGTCGTCAGTGTTAGTGTCGTCAGTGTTAGTGTCGTCAGTGTTAGCGTCGTCAGTGTTAGCGTCGTCAGTGTTAATGTCGTCAGTGTTAGCGTCGTCAGTGTTAGCGTCGTCAGTGTTAGCGTCGTCAGTGTTATGATCGTCGGTGTTAGTGTCGTCAGTGTTAGCGTCGTCTGTGTTAGTGTCGTCAGTGTTAGTGTCGTCAGTGTTAGCGTCGTCAGTGTTAGTGTCGTCAGTGTTAGCGTCGTCAGTGTTATGATCGTCAATGTTAGTGTCGTCAGTGTTAGCGTCGTCAGTGTTAGCGTCGTCAGTGTTATGATCGTCAGTGTTAGTGTCGTCAGTGTTAGCGTCGTCAGTGTTAGCGTCGTCAGTGTTAGTGTCGTCAGTGTTAGTGTCGTCAGTGTTAGTGTCGTCAGTGTTAGTGTCGTCAGTGTTAGCGTCGTCAGTGTTAGCGTCGTCAGTGTTATGATCGTCAGTGTTAGTGTCGTCAGTGTTAGTGTCGTCAGTGTTAGCGTCGTCAGTGTTAGTGTCGTCAGTGTTAGTGTCGTCAGTGTTAGTGTCGTCAGTGTTAGTGTCGTCAGTGTTAGCGTCGTCAGTGTTAGCGTCGTCAGTGTTAGTGTCGTCAGTGTTAGTGTCGTCAGTGTTAGTGTCGTCAGTGTTAGCGTCGTCAGTGTTAGCGTCGTCAGTGTTAGTGTCGTCAGTGTTAGTGTCGTCAGTGTTAGCGTCGTCAGTGTTAGCGTCGTCAGTGTTAGCGTCGTCAGTGTTAGCGTCGTCAGTGTTAGCGTCGTCAGTGTTAGTGTCGTCAGTGTTATGATCGTCGGTGTTAGTGTCGTCAGTGTTATGATCGTCAGTGTTAGTGTCGTCAGTGTTATGATCGTCGGTGTTAGTGTCGTCAGTGTTAGCGTCGTCAGTGTTATGATCATCAGTGTTATGATCATCAGTGTTATGATCATCAGTGTTATGATCATCAGTGTTATGATCGTCAGTGTTATGATCATCAGTGTTATGATCGTCAGTGTTATGATCATCAGTGTTATGATCATCAGTGTTATGATCGTCAGTGTTATGATCGTCAGTGTTATGATCATCAGTGTTATGATCGTCAGTGTTATGATCATCAGTGTTATGATCATCAGTGTTATGATCATCAGTGTTATGATCATCAGTGTTATGATCATCAGTGTTATGATCATCAGTGTTATGATCATCAGTGTTATGATCAGTGTTATGATCGTCAGTGTTATGATCATCAGTGTTATGATCATCAGTGTTATGATCGTCAGTGTTATGATCATCAGTGTTATGATCATCAGTGTTATGATCATCAGTGTTATGATCATCAGTGTTATGATCATCAGTGTTATGATCATCAGTGTTATGATCGTCAGTGTTATGATCATCAGTGTTATGATTGTCAGTGTTATGATCATCAGTGTTATGATCATCAGTATTATGATCATCAGTGTTATGATCGTCAGTGTTATGATCGTCAGTGTTATGATCGTCAGTGTTATGATCATCAGTGTTATGATCATCAGTGTTATGATCATCAGTGTTATGTTTGTCGGTGTTATGATCATCAGTGTTATGATCGTCAGTGTTATGTTTGTCGGTGTTATGATCATCAGTGTTATGATCATCAGTGTTATGATCGTCAGTGTTAGCATCATCAGTGTTAGCACCATCAGTGTTATGATCATCAGTGTTATGATCGTCAGTGTTAGCATCATCAGTGTTAGCACCATCAGTGTTATGATCATCAGTGTTAGCATCATCAGTGTTAGCACCATCAGTGTTATGATCGTCAGTGTTAGCATCATCAGTGTTATGATCGTCAGTGTTAGCATCATCAGTGTTAGCACCATCAGTGTTATGATCATCAGTGTTAGCATCATCACTGTTAGCACCATCAGTGTTATGATCGTCAGTGTTAGCATCATCAGTGTTATGATCGTTAGTGTCGAGATCGTCATTACTATGATCATCAGTGTGGTGACCGTCTATATAATGATGATCAGTGTGGTGACCGTCTATATTACGATGATCAGTGTGGTTATCGTCAGTGTGGTGATGGTCAATACTGTGATCGTCTTGGTGTGACCATCAGCATCACAAAATATTTAATTTATATTATTGTAGCGTTCGTAAATTATTATAAAAATTAAATTAATAATTCACAGCTATAATGAGATAATTGTTTTTTTAAAGGAACTAAAAATATTTCAGTGTTCTGTTTATTAATAAATGTTCTCTAGAGATGTTACATGATGGAGGTGCGTTAGTAGAGCAGATTGGTAAACAAAGGAACTCCCTCATGTCTCTGCTAGAGTTGTGTTACCTTGACATCACACTCGTCCAACTTACTCAAAGCAATATTAGCAAATTAAATTAGTAATCAACATGCAGAACATTATTTAATAAACGTTGCACAGTACAGTTTACTAAATGGTGGTCATGGCCTATCAATTTAAGCTTACTCTTTAGAAAAATATTTGAAGGACAATGCTGTATCATAAACTGTGTGTTCTTTTATTGACCTAAGACAGAGTATTTTGTTCCACAAAACATATTAACTAGAACATTTGAAGTACAAAATGTCGAACAAAAGCCTCTTTCGTCTGGCAGCCAACTTTGAACAGATTGATTACTGAACAATAAGCCCGACCGGGAGCCGGTCGGCCGAGCGGACAGCACGCTGGACTTGTGATCCTGTGGTCATGGGTTCGATCCCAGGCGCCGGCGAGAAACATTGGGCAGAGTTTCTTTCACCCTATGCCTGTGTTACCTGGCAGTAAATAGGTACCTGGCTGTTAGTCAGCTGTCACGGGCTACTTCCTGGGGGTGGAGGCCTGGTCGAGGACCGGGCCGCGGGGACACTAAAAAAGCCCCGAAATCATCTCAAGATAACCTCAAGATAACCCAAGAAGGGGCACGGGCATGAATAACTCGTAAAACTTTAAAATGACAGAGAGGCAGACAGTCATTCCCTCTTACAGATACAGATAGAAAGATACATGACACCAACATGACAGAGATAGAAAGGTAGAGCCCCCGCCGGGGCCCGGATCTCAGTGTGTCTGCACCACACCCTCTCTCTCTTCCCCTCTCCATATTCTCTCTCCCTCCAATTTCATATCCATTCTCCCATCCTCCCTCCCTGTCTCTCTCCCTCCCATGCTGTGTCCCTCCTCTTCTCCCTTTCTCTCTCCCACCAGGCAAAACATGCACAAATAGTGTTGACTCGTCGTTCAATAAACATTATCCATGTTGCCTCAACGTTGACGACATTATCCATGTTGCCTCAACGTTGACGACATTATCCATGTTGCCTCAACGTT